TAATTCAATTACTTGACAGATATTGCTATTTTTGTACAAGACCCAAATCGGCAATTTTTCGATTTTCAAAAATTAAAAAAACAAAAACACGTCATCGAAGAAAAAAAATTTTTGGGTTTTTATAAATCAAATTTACCAAAAATCATCAAAATCAAAGTTGCTAAGGGAAAAAAGTATCCATTTTTTGGTTGATTTCGAGTTTCGGTTGATTTAATATGAACTGAAATAGCTGGAAAATATTAAAATTAGCAAGAACTCAAACAAGGACAACAAAATTCTATTAAATTTTGCAAAAATTACAAACATTTCTTTTCTTGCTCAATTCTCAACGCGGAAAGAATTAGTACCTAAGCTCGCAGGAAATAAAAACTAATATGTACACATAATTATGCATAAGCCATAATATTACCATCCAGCTCCAGAAGTTTTTTCTATCACAAGTTTAAAAATATTGGGAGAAAAATACATTTTTTCTTAAAAATGTTAATCTATAATTAATTTTAATGTTAAAGTCAGGAAAAATGTAAAATTATTTACTTACATTGTGCAGAAATGCTAATTTTCGATTTAAAATACAAAAATCTTAGGCCCTTATGGATATTTAGCTTTTAATACGGCCTTGTCTACATTAAGTTCTTGTTAAATAAAAATACACTTCATCCTGGGTAGAAACGCTTCTTAAAAAATTTCAGGAAATTTTTGAGAAAAAAATGCTTCAAAAGACAGTTTGTGTTTTAAGGAGAACTGTGGTTCTTGGGGTAATTCCCTTTCTTAGCAAATGTTCTAAATGATAAGCAAAAACTAAATATCTTAGTAAAATTAAAAATACCTATAAATGATTTTATTTCACTTACCTCGAGTTTAAATTTAAATACCTAACTTATCAAACACTGCAATTCACAACCACAAAATTCAACCTTAATGCCATAAAATACGAGCGTAATGCCGTAATTCGTACGTAATGCCGTGAAATTTTTAAGTAATGCAATGTAATGCCGCCTAATACCAGCGTAATACTGCGGAATGCCAACATAATGCCACATAATGCCGGTAATGTCATGTAATGCCGCCGTAATGCGGGGTAATGCATCACAATTTGTACATGTATTGCCAGCAGTTGTTACCCCCTCGGTCAGATGTCAAAATTACTTTAACTTATACGCATGCTTAATTTGCTACTGATTTTGCTGCATAAATATCCTCCTATTAATGTTAAATTAATCTTAATCTTAATGTTAAAGTTAATCTTAATGTTAATTTGTGCTGCATAAATCCACCATTAGACCCAGTTGTATAAAAGTCTGATTAACAACAGAAGAAAATTTAGTTGTAACACTCAGTTATGATTTAATTAATTAATTTTCAAATTAAGGGGAATTCACTAAAAAATCACTAATTTTGTTTAAAAAAAACATCTGTCAACCAGGTCATCCTCATTAAAGTCCATAGTACGTTTATTAAATAAAGGCACTTGCAATATGTGAGATAAACAACATCGATTGGTTAACAAACTTGATTCCCCTCCGTCATAAGTGTGCATTAGAACTAAAAACAATTAAATCAAAACGGCCAACAATTATTGTTCGCCAATGTTTTAATTCTCCTCCTCTAACTATCTGTGTACAACTTTTAAGGTTGAACCTTGTAGATTTGCTCTATTGTCTGTGAATTTCTTTTCAGTTTCATCATTTCATGATGACTTTGTGAATATTATATTAAAAATTTAAAAAATAAACGATAATATTCTTGTAATAAAAAACAAATATTCTAAAATAAAAATGCCATTTTCAAAATGGTACCTACCTATCCTAAATAAAGTTAATCTAGTGTAAAAACGTTGACAAACATTTAGGGCTAATATTCCTCGGGTATTAATTAATAGAGCCCTGCACGGGCCGAATTTTTCAGGCCCGGCCCAGTTACTATAGCTTCCATAGATTCTTTCAAAAATTGTTTTCCAAACTTAAGCAAGAAAAGAGGATCGTATTAACAGCTTATAGATAGATTATTACAGTTTATTTTCAAAGTACAAAATAATGTTTACATACCTTTTGAAACCGTCATTTCGTCCGTTCAACTTAAGAAACGAAAAATATGACAGTTTTAAACCTTGATTTTGCCATTACAAAAACAAATTAACAATTTATAGTTAGGTACTTATTTACTGTTCTGTCAGTTTATCAGTTTTCAAATCTGTACCCCAGAACCATGAAGACTAGAGACTGTTGACAGATTTATTGCCCTACTCCGTGTGCCTTTCATATGTTTTAAAGATATCTGCCGTATTTAAATTGCAGGTTTTGTATTAGGTCATGCATATTCTTAAAGTAACTTATCATTTTTTTTTTGCGGATGGCCACCTCCCCTTTTGTTTGACCTCCTTTGTCTGTTCAGTGAAAAGCGACCAATGACAGGTGGCACTTAACTCAATCATATCACTTAACACTTCACTCCTCAATGACCGCTACACCACTCTTGCTTGCACTCTATGAAAATTGTTTGTTTCACTTTATTAGTTTGCACTTTTTAAAAATTATTGTTGGTTTCAATCTTTAAACTTTTACGTTTTAAGAGCCTTCCCACACACGTCGCGCCTTCTCAAGCGTTAGCTTCGCTACATCGACTTACTCACTCGAGCGCTGGGGGACAATTGATATTGTTACTTTAAGAAATAAAAAATAAAATTGACTGAATACTATATGGCTTTGATGATTTGCTAAACAGGGGTTGACTTAATACTTTTTGGCTTAAATAAAACAAAAAGTTGTTTGACTTGATACTTGACAACTGGATATAAAATTACCTATATGGCAGGGGGTATTAATCTATGATAACACTGCTTTATCACAAACTAAGTAATCCAATACTTAATGCTGTTTACCATTGGAAAGAGCGGAAAAATATTTAAAATGTCATTTTTTTTAAAAAGTGGACTTAATACAGTTTGGCTTTGGAGTATAGAAATTAAGATACTACCTTAATATTACTATCAGTACCCACAGATTAATAACCTATCAGTACCCACACAGCAATCCTGAGTTTTTATGGTATTTTTTAGAAATTTGACCTTACGTTCTGAATGCTTAACGCATTTGTAATCAAATGAGGTCAGTGTGAGTTCTGAAATCAAAAGCTTAATTGCGCATGCGTATAATGTCTGCGGGTTAAACTTATTTTTACATAGACCGCGCATAAAGCTTAATTTTCATGTATCCGTTAGTCCGATCATCCGGGAGCGCTCTTATTGGTCCAATTATAATTCGAAAATTATGACATTTTATCGGTCCGTCAAGTTTCAACTTCGTACGTCTGGCGGAGAAAATAAAAATAATTTTTTCTACTTCCACCTTTAAGTTGACAGTTGTCAAATGTCAATCGTTAAAATAAATTGCCTTGTAAAATAATACTAAATGTGAAAATTATTTTATAATCTCAATACAAAAATACAAAAGTTATTAAATAGTTTCTCAACGCCAATATTTGAAAAGTTTATATGAACATTGTACCTACTGACCTTTTAATTTCGCCGGCAGTAAACTATAACTTAAATTCGGACACGGACTCCACTATAAAGTGCTCATAAAACATTTTCTTTACTTTCACTGTGAAAAACTGTCAAGAAATACATTTCGATTTATAACCTTTATAATTGTGTTTATAAAATGTAAAAATTTGACATTTGACGGTGAAACACAGATTCCCCTGTTGTTTCATAGATGGCGCTCTATACAAATTTTTGATTTAAATCATTTTAAGATAATATTAAGTATTTGTCGTAGAAAAATTATAGTATGCACCTCGTTTATAAACTTTTATATACACTCATTAATTTAAGCACTCGCTCGCAAGCTCGCTCGTGCCTAAATTAAATTCGTGTATAAAATGGCGTTTATTAAACTTGATACATAATATACTATTAACTCATCCATCACTTATATTCTGTGGTCACTACACATCTGTTTTTGACTTGTTCTACTGTTATGTTAATAAGAATAACGGAAAAAAAGAAAAGACAAACAAAAAAATATTAAAACCAGAACTAAAAGGACCTGCTTTTTTAAAACTATACATTTTAATGTATATTAAGGCTAGTATATTCTATTTTATATTGTATATTTACCTACCTTCATATTTATTAAAGAACCTGAGAATTAGAGTTTTATCTGCATTTTTTTTAAATTGAGGTTTTGTTTTAAGTCTTAAAGAGGTCTTGTTTTAAGTCTTAAAGATGCATATTGTTCTACCCCAATTATATATAGATAGAACATTATGCATCTTTAAGACTCAAAACAAGACTAACCTCAATTTAAAAAAAATGCAGATAGAACACTATGACAATTAAGCATTAGGTAAATTTAGTAAAGTGAATATACTTTTCCTTAATTTCTATTTGTCGCCAAATCAATCCGTTAAACGTCATTAAAAACGGATGCATGAACATTAGAACATTTCTTGTCAGACGATTTTATTGAAAAACGGACAAACGGATACATGAAAATTAAGCGCATGCCCGCGTCACTTAATTTTAAAAAAAATTTAATTTAAAAATTAACTCACAAACTTATTTACTTCTCAAGTCATAAGCTCAGGTGATACACAAATGCCAAGCGGACCCCCAATATAAAAGTGCTCTTTTAGTTCCACCCTAACTTCCTAAGAAGTCCCAGAAGCCTACTGAATGGCTTGTGCGGGTTAGGGGTAGGAACGGACCCCGGGCTTAAAGTCCCCTCCGAAGGACTATTACACAATAGGACAAATACAAATAAACAGCCATACCCCTGGTGGGATTTGAACCCATGACCTCCGGTTTTTATTCAGCAGCACTAACCACTAATCCACCGTCGGCGAGAAAACTATTCTTGACCTACCTATATGTCTGACTTTGTTAAAAAAAAGAACTGAAATACTTTAGTATTTGCAAACAAAACCCCAAAAAGCTATTTGTCAAGTTTATACCTAATTGGCATTTAAATTATATAAAAAAAAAGAAAAAAACTAACCGAAGAATTTCCATTGTCTGTAAGTCCTTTAACTTTCAGTGTTTCAGCTACCCTCATAAATGTTGGGATTTCCTCTTGACTAACACTAACTTCACCTTGATACATGAAATGTAGCAAATTACACAAGGCCCCATAGTTCACATCAGGCAAAATTACTATAGGATGTTTGCATGGATTCACTCTAAACAATTCCTTAAAAAATGGACTACAAACGGAAAGCACTGTTTTGTGTGCCTTTAGAAATTTTCCTTCGGCAGCTATGGTACAATCCACCAAATCCTCATCCTTTAATAAACTATGAAATCCTGAACTAAGATTACTGTGAAAATTGTTCCAGCATAGAGAGAATTGTTCACCTTCCATTTTACCCGGTTCGCAAAAAACTACAAAAAAAAAACGTCACAGAAAAGTTTAATCAAGAGATGTACAGCCTTACCGCTATCCTTCACCCTCCAAAATAATAAAAAATGCCCGATATCATTTAAAAGTAATTACTTTATAAATTTAATAACAAAATTGTCGTGATTGCCTTGATTCAGCATCAAACAAGCATGAAGATGGTGGAAAACTAACGCAGTGTTGCCAATCTCAACAATTTTTCGGTAGGTTGCACATATAGTTTATGTGCATGTTATACGAGGTAGATTGAGATAAAATTCGGTAAATATAAATGCAGGTGTGTTTTTTATTAAAAAATCATAGCTTATACAATATTTACTAAAAATTAAAACAATAAACATTAAAACACTAAATAATAAAATTAATATATAAAATGCATATACCTATAACTAAATTAGCGAATATTTATTTAAAAAATCCGTAATTTCGATGCTTTTATAAAGCTTGTGGGGAACAAACCCGACAGTTGGCAAGAGTGGTCCCCAAGAAATAAAAAGTTATCAGCACTGGACTCCAGTGACTGGCAGGGTTGTTCCAAGCTACACAATTGTGCAAAATGCTACACTTTTTAACAAGTAGCTACACCGGGGCACCCCAATGGCAAATCTTATTGTTTTGCTACACTTTTTTGATAAAGTAAACAAAAAACTACACTATTATAAGCAATCAATAAAAAAACTTTTCTTTCTACAAGAAACCATCTTGAGTAGAGTCCTTATAGGGACTCTTATTTTAATAATTTTATATTTTTTCTGAAGGTTTATTTTTTATTAAAAATTGAATATTTTGAAAATTTTCTTTTTTTTAACGTGCATATCTTAGATCATCCCTTGTATGATCTAAGGTGCATATTCATTCTTTTTTTATTGCAACATAATGGTAAAAAATATAAAACGCACGGTAATATAATAATATAAGGCCTTGCTGAAGCGTGTGTAAAATAGAGTCCCTATCAGTCTTCCATCTATGGTCCCTATAGTGTAAAACTACTGTAGAACTCTGGTAAAACCATATACCTATAACTTATAACTAGTTATAGGTATATGGGTAAAACTGCACGAGTCGCATCTATATTCTAATAACCACCAAAACGAATTGAATTTTTCGAATTCGCCAATCTGACGCCCTATTTTAAAACTGCACAATGCTACACAATTTCATTATCGAGTTCTACACTTTGAAAAATCAGCCAGGAACAACCCTGCCAGGGTTGTTCCAAGCTACACAATTGTGCAAAATGCTACACTTTTTAACAAGTAGCTGCCCCGCGGGGCACCCCAATGGCAAATTTTATTGTTTTGCTACACTTTTTTGATAAAGTAAACAAAAAACTACACTATTATAAGCAATCAATAAAAAAACTTTTCTTTCTACAAGAAACCATCTTGAGTAGAGTCCTTATAGGGACTCTTATTTTAATAATTTTATATTTTTTCTGAAGGTTTATTTTTTATTAAAAATTGAATATTTTGAAAATTTTCTTTTTTTTAACGTGCATATCTTAGATCATCCCTTGTATGATCTAAGGTGCATATCCATTCTTTTTTTATTGCAACATAATGGTAAAAAATATAAAACGCACGGTAATATAATAATATAAGGCCTTGCTGAAGCGTGTGTAAAAGTCCCTATCAGTCTTCCATCTATGGTCCCTATAGTGTAAAACTACTGTAGAACTCTGGTAAAACCATATACCTATAACTTATAACTAGTTATAGGTATATGGGTAAAACTGCACGAGTCGCATCTATATTCTAATAACCACCAAAACGAATTGAATTTTTCGAATTCGCCAATCTGACGCCCTATTTTAAAACTGCACAATGCTACACAATTTCATTATCGAGTTCTACACTTTGAAAAATCAGCCAGGAACAACCCTGGTGACTGGAGAGAAATGTCAATCATAGATATTAAATAAGAGTTGGAGAAGCAGGGTCCGAGGATAGCGCAGTGGGTTGGGCTACAAAGCTGTGCAATCTGCGTCTAACGCATATACCTATAACTAGTTATAGGTATATGGTCTAACGGTACCGGGTTCGATTCCCGGTCACAGCCCTGGGTGTTGTGATTGTTTATTAAGACATAAATTACATATAATGTGCTGGCTAAATAGGCTGAAAAAGCCTAAAAGCCAATAAAACTTAATCTTGAGTCATTGTATATGCTTCATGGTCCAAACGCTTAGTAGGAACAAACCGGTAATTATTTAGAATTCGGTAAATGTACCGAAATTTTCTGCATGGTTGGCAACATTGAAGTGACTGCACAGAAGTGATTTTTGATAGAAATAAGAAGCTGTAATTTATATATATTATATAATAAAGAAGGAGAAGCTATAGGTAATCCTAGACTCGCTTGCTCCACTAACTAAAAAAACGAGATTAAGCTGGCTAATTCCCGGAAGGGAAAGGCCATTACCCGAAGAAGAAGAAGAAGAAGAAGAAGTGATTTTTGGACACAATTTTTTTTGGTTGGACATTCTGTTTAAAATCCATAAAGTATAATTTAAAAATGCCGGGTTAAAGGAGTGTTTTTTCAAAATGTATTGATTATTTAAGTGTCTTTAAATCACACTTAAACTGTGTAAACGACCAAATACTTTTGTTATTTCGTTTCAAATAATTTTATATTTGACAAAGGTTTGTTTGCACTTTGTCAGATGTCAAAAAGTCCAAAACAAATTATAGAACAAAAATTCAACGATGGCAGGTATCGCTTTAAAAGTTAAAACAAAGACTGAACAACAAATTTTAAACAACCTAACGCAAGAAACAACTGTGAAAGAACTAAAAACTATTTTGTCTACAATATCGAAAATACCAGAAAATCGTTTAATGGTGCTCTCTGGCTACCCTCCAAAAAGTATTGACATCTCACAAGATGGGGTTAAGTTAAAGGACACACAAATAAAATCCGGCGATATATTGATACTTGAAGAAAAACCTGAGGAACAACAGCCATCAAAAACCCAACCACAGCAATCAAAAAGCCAACCCCAGCCATTCAAAAGCCAACCAACTCCGGTTGATTACAGGGCACATGTTTTAGAACCCACGGAAAACTGTCCTGGTATTTTAATGAAACAAGTGGTTCCTGCAGATAATTCCTGCTTATTCAGCAGCATACATTTTGTACTGAATGGCAAAGTAGAAGATTCCTCTGTTGTAGCACCTTCAATGAGACAAATTATAGCTGAAACTGTTGCCAAAGATTTAATTAATTATTCAGAAGCGATTTTGGGTAAACCCAATGATGAGTATTGTGCTTGGATATTGGATAATAATTCTTGGGGAGGTGCAATTGAGTTAGCAGTTTTGTCAAACTATTTTGGAGTAGAAATTGCTGTAGTGGATACAATTAATGCTATAATAAATAGGTTTGGTGAGGACCAAAGTTATGCTCATCGAGTTTTTTTAATGTTTGATGGTATACATTATGATCCTTTGTATTTGGAACCCCTAGATGTGAGTACTAATTTCTATAAATATCTAATCACTTTTAGTTAATTTTATTAGGTATACATTCTAAGTTTTCTCTATTAAAAAATTTGCTAAATAATAGTAAAATATATTTGTGCACTGGGTATATACAGTGTTTTGATAAAAATCACTACTTATTTTATTAAATCGGAGTATCATTTAAATGCGATTAGATTATCTAATTATGCTAAACAAATTTAATTTAAATACACCCAAAGTGACAGAGGGTCCCAAAATTGGCAGCTCCAAAGGGTAAGAGTAAAATTCTTTTGAAATTCCAAAACAAATTTTTCTTTACCTTTTTTCAAATTTGCAAAATTGCAGAAGTTATTTAACTTAAAGCTGCCATGCAATAAGCTTGAAGTATAAGTATCTTACAAGCCCTTTGATTACAAATCGATAATACTGCATTCTCATTGACAACTTTAAAAGTTTTAATTTTGCAAATTCGAAAAAATGGTAAAGAAAATTAGTTTTGGAATTTCAAGAGGAATTTACCTTTACCATTTGGGCTGCCAATTTTGGGACACCCTGAATAATAATCTTCTATTTTAACAGGGAAGCAAAATACAGACCATATTTCCCAGTGACGATGAAAGAGTGCTAAGAGATGCTGAACAGCTAGCCATAGAGGCCAAATCAAGCCGACAATACACTGATGTCAATAAATTCACCCTAAAATGCATGATTTGCAATGTAATGTTAAAAGGACAATTACAAGCTCAACAACATGCCTCATCTACAGGACATATGAACTTTGGGGAAGTTTAAACTTGCATGACACAAAACCTGATCTCCATACTTATTTTAATTTAAAAATAAGTGTTTGTGTTCAATATAATTCCTTTTAGAATTAACTTTTTACAAATGGCCTTTAATTTTTTTTTTAATATTTATTAGGTAATATTAAGTTCAACTCAATCAATTAATAAAACATTATTATAAACATTATATTATTGTGCTTTGGGGTTTTAATTAATTATATTTTGTAACATATTTATCAATATACCAAATTTGTGTACATTACAATAATATTAATGTTTGTATTGCTTAGGTTCTAATCATATTTGACAACTGTAATTACATTTTTTACATCAAATAAATATAATTCAATATTATTGGTATTTCACTTTATAATTGAAGTCCTTGGTGCAAAAGATGTTAACTATTTTTATCTCCACGCGGTCTATAATTTAAACTTTATTGTTGTCAACATTCGATAAAGAAATACCTTGTTATGGCCTAGGCCGATAAAAAATTTTATGAGGCAACTAAACAGTTCCATTTTTTCTCGCTAGGGGTATTGTTTTGACAAATTAATCCTTTTCTAAGAAATTAACGTACTAAACTGGTTTAATTTATTTATAATAAGCACTAATTTGTTTGTTTTACTGTTATGTTTAATTTTTTTCATTAAATTATTGTAAAATTAAATATGAATAATAAAACAAAAAGTGAGGCTAGGCAACCAAGAAAATGCACGATTCTTTTTCTACGATTTAAATTATCTTTTAAGTTTTAATTTGCTTTGTTTTCAGTGAAATTAAATATTTAACATATATGTTAAACAGCTTAAACATTAAAAATCCAAACAAATTGAAATTAGATACCTACCTATTTATTAAACAATTAATTGAATTCAATGTAATAGCAAAAATCCATTTCTACTTAAATCATGTTGCTAGGTATTGTCAAACTATTACTCATAGAAAAAGGATATTACTGCTTCTAAACGCAATAATAATTATTGTACATTTAATGTAATCTTTAGCTAATAAATAAATGAGATTCTAAAAAAGTGAGGTTAGGCCGCTTTGATGTTGAATTAAATTGACCTATATAAAGTGCTTTGAAGATAAAATGTTGTATGCCATTCGGCCAAGAAGTGCCTTTTTGTGCTTCGCTCAATTGTAGGCCTCCGCTACGCGTCGGCCTTCAAATCTTGAGCTTAGCACAAAAAGCCTTACTTCTTAACCTAATGACATAAATAACTATTTTACAATTATTGTTTATAAATTTTTTTTCTACAACGCTATGTAAAACTCACATTTCATGTGTGAAAAGTTAGGTCTGGACGTGTGAAAAGAAACTGCAAAAAAGAGATTAAAACCGCTTGACAGATGTCAGGTAAAATGTCAAATAAAATTATTTTTTATGCCAACATTCCGACCATGGAGCCTACACAAGGAGCCCGAACTTCATGTAAACAAGAATCTTCCTAAGATAAGAGGGCGCTGGTGTACTACCGGTCCAAAACAGTAGAGGGGTATAACCAGAGATGGCGCCACTACCTACCACTTATTATTGTGCAAATAATTGAGGTTATGCAACTGTCAGTTTATCACTTTCTGAAAACAATGTACCCATGTACCTGGTTCACTTCACAGATTATAAAGAATCACTTATATTTCACAACCAAAACCTTTTCATTAGCATCTACCTACCAGGTACAGCCATAAATAACAAAACGATTCGTACGTCAAAACATTATTGCAAATCAATTGTCAAAACTTACTTGCTTACTTCACATGTATTTTCGATACTATTTTCACGTCATTCGGACGCATTAACAAGCAGCGCCGCTGGTGGTGAAAAAAAAAGACTTAAATTGTGCAATTTAGTGGACAGGTTTTGTCAATTTTCCCTATTAAGTTCGGGCTCCTTGTGTAGGCTCCATGATTCCGACGAAGGATTCGAATTCAGCGACCCAAAACCCAAAAGATGTGGCTTTTCTCATGATGTCTCTTTACTTACTGTATGTTGACTTTTCTTATACATACATATGACTCATATGATATGAGGTCTATTGATTTTTTTCGCCATTTTAAAAAGTATAAATAAACATTTTAAACAACCCCGGTAATTCAGTGGGTCAGTAGTTCAAACTCGCAAGGTGTGCAATAGAACTACTGCGCAGCGCAACGTGACGTGAACTTCTGCTAAGCGAGAGTGCGGCTTTCTAGAAACTGCATTGTTTTAAACAATTTGTTTTGCTAAAAAATTTAGACTAAAAATACATTGTTCAGCTAAAATTAATTACCCTCAGCTTTCCATAATGCAGGATAAGATAGATGCAGTAAGTACACATTATATTAAATCGTGTTTTATCAGTATTATTGAATATTTTTAGCTTAAACTTGATATCGCCGAACTTGAATCGTTCGAGAATCAAAGCACGCGTCAAAAAGTCAAAGATATTTTAAGCATAGAAAGACGACGTTTGGTGTCTGAAGTTCTTAAATTGGAAGAACAAAGTAAACCTGAATCCAATAAATCTAATGTAACTACTGTAAAGCCTGCCCCTGGCAAATATCAGGTTAAAGTAAACAATTATGGTAGGTGGTTGCTAGTTTGCACATTTTTTTGCATGATTATGTATGGGACACATATTCTCATAATATGTACCCCAATATTGTGTGGATTGTGATCTTACTGCAAAAACTGACAAAATCAGGTTTTTATTGAAATAGTCATTTCGAACAAGCCCAGAAAACTTAAAAGTTGAATATATATAACTTTGTCAATTTTGTTTGGTCATATGAAGAATATTCTTACTCGAATAATCGAATAAGTTCTGACTTGGTTACTTTTGGCAGTAAGCCACAATATGATTGGGGTGCTGGAATTGGCCAAAGATTGAGCAAACATGTTTAATGTAATTATGCAAACAATGGCCACCTATCAATTAATGGTCATGTTTGTACAATTTAATGGTAAATTGAGCAAAATAATCTTTGTGCAATTTTTTTGAATGTCAATAATTTTACAAACCAAATTATTTTGTCAAATTACAACAGTAAAACTCATCAAGGTTTAAAAAAATAACAGTGAATTTCCATAATATTAGGGACAGTAGCAATTTCTTTCAATTCCAGTTTGGATGAATTTTCTAAGAAAAATAACCCTTAAGGGTTAGATATTTTTCTACACCCAATTAGTTTTTTATTTTGTACTTATATTTTCTGTTGCTACTGGGTTTTTTCAAATTTCTTGTACATTTGCTGTCCCTCAACTTTAATATTTTATAAAAAATTGAGTTTAACTCCGTTTGGAACTTTACTAAGCAATCAATTGGTTTCAATCAATCAGTCCAGGTAACTTAAAATTTCCACTTTATAATTTCACTTAATTATTTTTCCTAAAGGAGGAAATTTTTTATTTTGAACTATAAATTTATTGTGGGTTTCATAAAAATATATTTTATTTTATATAAAATATTTTATTATTGGAAAAAAGTAAATTGACTGTTAAATGAACATATTCATTGTTTTAAATTTTTTCAATTATTTTTAAATCCAGGGCCCCCAAGGCGTTGAAGGCCTGGGGCAATGTGCCCCTTTTGCCCCCCCTCTCGGCGGCCCTGGTCCCACTTGCAATATTATTCACTACTTAATGCTATTTAAACATCTTAGAGTAAAATAACATCCTCCTTTCTTTATATAAACTGCGCACCAAAAAGTTCGTTCTTTTTCAAAACGACATAACTTTTTTGTTTCTTGAACGATTTTATTTTGGTCTGTGATGTCTCTTAGCCCCATCCTCTGGAAATTCATGATATATATAAGCTTAAGTTTCTTCAAGTAAATTTCCTACAGGGTGATATGTTAAACGGTGAAAATTTTCAATAACTTCATCCGAGCCCCGTTTGTAAAAAAATAATTTTTTTCTCGTTTTTACCTTGAAATAATAAAGTATTATGTCTTACCTTGAAACATTTTTCAAATTTTTGGAATTGGAATCTTGACAACGAAAATATGATTTTTTTTACAAAAGAGTACATTTAAGGGTTGTTTGTAGGCAATTTAACAGCCGGGAATTGTTTTCGAATTTTGATTCTTAGTGATTTTGGTTTTATCTGAAACTTAAATTTTACAACTGAATCACAATCAGGAGGTCAAAATTATAAAGAAAACATGTCAAGAACGTAAATATCGGTTCAGGATTAGTTTTGGCAAATTTTCACCAAAATGTCATTTTGAAAAAGTGGTCTTTGCTTAGGCCCCTCTGAAAATAATGGAAGTTTGTTGCTTGTCGCTTGTTCAGAATTATTCAAGGAACAATCTTTCACCATCTAATCTCCTTGTTCTTAAAAGGACTGAGTGTATTGCCTACAAAAAAGCATTAAATGTACCTACTCCATTGAAAAAAAAATCATATTTTTGTTGCTAAGATTCCAATTCGAAAAATTTCAAGGTAAGACATAATACTTCATTATTTCAAAGTAAAAACGAGAAAAAAATATTTATTTTACAAACGGGGCTTGGATGAAGTTATTGAAATTTTTCACTGTTTCACATATCACCCTGTAGTAAATTTACTTGAAGAACCGTGAGCTTCATATTTATAGCATGAATTGCCAAAGAATGGGGCTACCAGACATTACAAACCAAAATAAAATCGTTCAAGAAACAAAAAAGTTATGTCGTTTTGAAAAAGGACGAAATTTTTGGTCGCGACACATTGAGTGGTGCGCAGTTTAGTTGAGAATATATTCCAAATATTACAGAAAAATGCCCTTTTGTGGTAATATTTAAAAATACAAGTTGGAAAAATATCCCCTAAAGTTTGTCCTTTAATTTTGGTCCCCTAGGTCACGTCTCCTAAGTCACGGCTTTTAAAAATGATTTTTTGAATTGAGCGTACATTTTTTGGTGCTGCTGCCCCCTTGCGGCAATGTATTTGGTAACGGATTTTAGTAGAAAAATTTCGTAAGGAAATGGTGTTTTGAACAATCTTGAAGCTACAACACGTTTTTTTTGTATTTTTTATTCCAGCGTGGCAAAACTGCATTCTCCTATGTCACAGTAATAAAATTTTTATTACTTTTTATTATAAAAAGTAGTAGTAGTTTAAGGTGACCAACTCTCCTGAAAGAAAAACCAGAACTCATATAAAAAATCTGTATTTTTTATAAAATGTTTACAAATTAAGATTTTTTAAAACTATATTTTTCTTGGGAGTGAATTTGTTTTATTAGGACTTTAGTGTTTTAATATGCAATTGTGATTTGTCTTTTGTCCAAAAGTTGTTCATATTGGAAAAAACTTTCTCTACATGACTATTTGTTCAAGATAATATCCATATTGTTGTGTTTATCTGATAAACACAACAATATGGGTAATTCTTTTACCTTTCTGAATTAAAGATGCATTTAGAGCTTGAAATATAAAAAACAATAGATATTACAATATTTAACCACAATAAAACGCGCAGACGTCAGGGACATGCGCAATACTAAAATTATTTTAGTATTGCGCATGTCCCTGACGTCTGCGCGTTGCCAATGAACATTTGTTAGATTGCACGGTGAAGTGCTCCAAAACGCACGGTTTTGCACGCAGTATTTTTTGTTTATGTGTATACTATTTTTTAATTTTTAAGCATTTTCATTGAAATATTGTTTCTATAATGGCCACTTGCACCGTAAGTTTAACAGTGGTTTATTTTTTAACTCAGGTTTATTTTTCTTAACTGGCTTGCACCGTAAATTAATCCTTGTTTAAATACCACTTAACTACGGTTAAAATAAACTTTCAATTTCGGGGGATTAAATTACTTTAATCCACCGATAACGATTTATAACCTCAAAAGTACTTGTCATCGGTATTCAAAATCTTTTTTTTCCGAAGATATTATTTATTGACATCTTTCATGATATCACAACGTGATTTTTTTTATCACGCTGTGATATCCTGATTGCATACACATGCTTCATCACAGTAATATCATGTAGAACTCACGGTGTGATATTTGCGAATATTTTTCCTTGGATTTAAATAACTATATATAGTTAATTTAAAGCCAAGAAAATATTGAATGTTAAACTGTTGATTCAATTGTTAACATACTATTTCTTTCAATGTACAAATGTTTCGCAAAATGAATATCCAAACACCGATGGCATAAAAAGATCATGTCCCGTTACCTTTTAACTTGGCAGTTAATTTAACTGATCAGTTAGAGAAAACGGTGCAAGTGGCCATAATTACACCATTTGGATGGAATTAACTGACGTATAATTTTCAACCATTTTTAATGTGGTGTGATTTTGGGTGTAAGTTTAGATGAATCAGTACTATTACTGTTCAATCATTATGGTACTACGGTAGTACTTCTACCTATACCTATATACTACTACCTTTACGTACAATTAATGTTTAATGTTCTTGCAGTAGAAAAAAATATGCCCTCTTCTCCACTAGAGTGTCTTATGCGCATGCTCAGTGAGGATTCTACCCAGTAAGCATTGCTCACGCCATCTTTTCTCTGACTTACGCACTATAAATACCGGCAAATTTAAAATTGTACGGCTGACCCGCCCACAATGCCAAGTTGCCAAGTTTCTAATTGCATTTTATTTTTTTTTTAATTTTAATGTTGCCAAGTTTCTAATAGTATTTTAAATATTTTTTTAAAGTTTTAATGTCGTATGTTTAAAACGCACGCAAAAGGCACGGTTTCGCACGATGTTCGCAAAATGCACGGTCAGGCATGAAAATGCACGCAAATCGTGCAATTGCACGGTCATTGGCAACACTTTAGTAAAATAGTTCCGAACTATTAGTTCCGAACTATTAGTTCCGAACTATTAGTTCGTTTGGGGAGAGCGAAGTGCGAAAAATCTGGCAAAGTGGAAAATATAATTTTATGTTTATGGCTTAATTAGTATTGTAGGTATATGTAGGTATAAAAACAGAAAAAAACAGAAAAGCTTTTGAAAAACAACTTTTACTTTACTTAATTTACAACCAGAACATGGTTCTCAAAAACAGTGTAGTTCTGGTTAAATCAGAACGATTGGTCACCTACTAAGTAGTTGGACTTTGTTTGATTCTCAAAAGTAAGTATCCTACTAGGATAATCCTAGGAATGGTTTTAAGGGCAAAAATACAATTTTTTATCTTTAAAACAGTAAAGAGGTTATGTTCTAAAAACATACATTTTTCCCCTGGGACACCCGTCTCCTAGATCACATATTGTGTGACCCAGGGGAAAGTTAGGTTACCCAGGGGACAATTCCAAAGAAATAAATTATAATATAATAAACTTATAGGAAAGTTTTAAAAAACTTTTTATTAATTTATTGCACGTTAAATTGGACAAGCTGAGCCCAGATAAAAAATCGAGAAAAAACGTTTTTAATACGCATTAAACGTAATTTACTTACTTTTTTTAAATACAGAATAGTTTGGAATACAGCATATTCCGCTCTAGTGAAGAGTTTGTCACACGAACCGAAGGCTAGTTTGACGGTTTCACGAGAGCGAAATATGCAATTCCAAACGTGTTTCAGACTATACTTTTTCTACGTTTCCAAAAAATACCATAGGAAAATAATTTAATTGGAAGAAAGTGAGGTTGGATCGGTCTAAAATTTGTTAGATATTAAAAACAGAGATGTCGCCAGGAGTATTTATTCTGTCATCTGATGTAACACTTTACGGAATATACATATGTCATTCCATAGATAAAAGTGTATGTAAGAAAGTTGAGAAATAGAACATAGTTTTTGCTTTTACTTAGTTTTTTACTCAACATTTGTTATAAATAATAAATTTATGTTTTATTAACAAGCAAAAAAATATATTTTCAAAATGTTTTTTTAACATGTTAGTAAATTTGTGACCCAGGGGACAATTTTTTTCTTTTTTCTCTTTAAGGGGTTTAAAAAAATCCAACTGCCCACTTTTAAGTGTTAAATAACACCCCTAAATAAACAAAAATTATAAAAAAAACAGGTTTGTAGATTAAGTTTTTATTTTTACTTTTTCTTCTTTAAATGTACAAGAATTTTGAAAATGACCCTACTATATATTTAGTTTAGTTTTTTTTTCAATGGAACATCTATGCAGATTATTCCTAATCTTAGGAACATCTCATATAATTTTAGAATAATTTTTAAAAAGAATTCTACAAATAAATTGGATGTTTCATTGAATAAAAATAAACTTTTGTAATCGCCATTTTTATGGGGCCTTTTTTATATGGGCCTGCTTATATCTGTAAAACGCAGTTTTAAAAAAACAAGGAAGATATCCATTTAAAAAACGTATCCCTATTGTGAAAAACATGAAATATTTTTATCCTCAAAAAATTATGAAATAACCATTTGAATTCTTCAAACTACCTACTTATCAAATAATAAAATATTATTTAAGTGGAATACGTTTATCTGAGCAATAGGTATCAAAAAGTAAAGTTCAATGGTGTGACATCGGAAAAAATTCAAACTACCCATGGGGTTCCGCAGGGAACTGTGCTGGGACCAATTTTATTTACATTGTTCTTAAATGATATAGTAAACTGTGTGAAATTCTCAGAAATAAGTTTGTTTGCAGACGATACAATGCTATATATAATAGGATATAACATCTGTGATATGATAACCAAAATAAATTGTGATTTAAGTAATATCTACACTTGGCTCTGTGATAATAAACTTTGTATTAATATAGCAAAAACTAAAAGTATTGTATTTGGAAGTAAGAGCAATGTAAGTAAAATTGGTAACCAAACTTTGTTACCTGTCCATATTAATAATGTAAAAATTGATTTGGTAAAAGATATTAAGTACTTGGGAGTTAAACTTGACGAAAATCTAAATTTTCACACACATGCACTTTATATTATGAATAAGATGTCAAAAAAATCATTCTTTTTAAAACGTGTTAGTAAAAATCTCTCCTTGTCAACAAAACTTTTTTTATATAAATCGACAATTGCCCCACACATTGATTTTTGTTCAACAATTCTCTTTAACTTACCTGCATATAGAATTGGGGAAATCCAGTGCATACAAAACCGATGTATGAGAACAGTATTGTATTGTAATAGATACACTCCAATTAAAACTATGTTAAATGTACTAAATTTGTTACCAGTTTGTGATAGAATATTGTTTAATACTTTAATGTTTATATATAAAATGAAAAACAATATTCTACCTCAGTATTGGTGCAAAAACACTGTAGAACAACTCAGATGAAAAACACTGTATTTTATAAAGGATTGGTACAATTTAATTTACTACCAGCTAAAATAAAAGAAAGCTTTAATATTAAACATTTTAAGACAAATTTACTTGAGCACTTCCGTAGAATCTGTGATTAGATATACCTATATAAATTATTTATACTTTTATTGTTATACTGTACATATCTTGTATACATGTTATATTTATATTGTTATTTTTTGTATAGGTATGAGATAGCTTCCTTGCTAAATAAAGATTATTATTATTATTATTATCTCTATTGAACATTAATTTTAATCAAAACAGTTTACAAAAATTTAAATTAATAAAGACTTTTTTTTTTATAAAATAATAAACCAAAATTGGAAAGGATCCAAAAATCAGCTTATAAATATATCAACTAGTTTATTTGTTTAAATTTGATAAATTTACATTGTTATGAAAAAACAACTTCAATACCCTCCATGTGGTGTAATAAAAAATCTGTAATACAAATATATTTTAGATTAGGCTTAACTTAATTTACTTTCAGCTTGGGATCAAACATCGAAATTCGTTAAATTTTATGTAACTTTAAAAAATGTACAAAACATTCCATTACAAAATGTAAAATGCAAATTTACAACAAAGTCATTAGAGTTGTTGGTGGAAGATTTGGATAAAAAAGATTATGTTTTAACAATAAACAATCTTTTAAAAGAAGTTGTGCCAGAAGATAGTTCTTGGAAAGTCAAAACAGGTTAGTTTTAATTTATGGAATAACCGTAACAATAAGGTAATAATTATAATTTAAAAATAATTATTGAGAATAATATTAGGACATATTATGTCCTAGGACTATCATCTAATGAGAATTTGTCCTAGGGCTATCATCTATTATGCATATAAAATAAACATTGTTAATTTCTTAGATATGGTCATTGTAAGTGTTGCCAAAAAATCTCAAGACACTTGGTCCCATGTTACTGGTTGGGAAAAAAAGACTACAGAACCAAAAAGTGTTGAACCTGATGCCGACCCTGCTGATGGAATTATGTCTTTAATGAAAAATATGTATGTTTGATTATTATTGGAAAATATAAAAATTATATTATTGATTTTAATATATTTTATAGGTATGACAAAGGAGACGATGAAATGAAAAGGACAATTGCGAAAGCATGGACTGAGAGCCAATCAAAAGGGTCCAACTTCCAACTTTAAAATACTATGTTAAGAATATTTCTATTAATGTATATTATGTACAAGCCAACATTACAATATTTCAATATGGTATTATATTTACATTTAAATATAATACCATACCTATTGTTTAAACATTAAGTTGTAATAAAACACCTACATACAATAAGTATTTTATGAATGTATTTAGTAAATGTTATAAAATACAATATTTTGATTTATTTTATTATTTAAATAACAGGGTTTTTGTTTACAATGTAAATACAGGGTGATAAGTGTCATTTTTAACTTTTGACAATTAAGTTTTTAACAAAATTTCCATTAAAAATTTAAGGGATAATAATGATTTATATGGTAATTCCACAATCCACACAACAAGGTCTGTTCGATCTGTTGGTAAAAATACTAAAAATCACTGCAACACTGCACATCATTTAATGGCGGCCATTTTTGTTGTTTACAATTCTTGTGCTTTGGGTTTGTACAGATTAATAATCGTTTTAAACGTTGTGTTTCTTACAGAGAGACTTGCAAGCCTCTCTGTAAGAAACACAACGTTTAAAACGATTATTAATCTGTACAAACCCAAAACACAAGAATTGTAAACAACAAAAATGGCCGCCATTAAATGATGTGCAGTGTTGCAGTTATTTTTAGTATTTTTAGTACGAGATCGAACAGGCCTTGTTGTGTGGATTGTGGGTACGCAATACGCAACCTCTTCCTGAACCAAATGCCAAAAAGATGTGGTCATGTTTTTTCCATTGGGGTTTAAGAAAGCGAGTAAGAGGGCCTACCGCCATACCTGAGCAAGATATAATTTCTATCAAAATACAAAGTTAACAATTGTTACTGTTAAGTTACTTAACATACTCGTAATATTAAAAATTTGGCTGCGACCAATTGCGATTTATTTTTTAAGTGCGCTTACAAGGTAGATAAGCGCTTACAAGGTAGATAAGCACGCGTGTCTTAGGCGCATTAGCAGCCCAACTTGTACAATCCCAGATAATAATTAATTATGACCTCATTTAAGACATCAACGTGAAATCATTGCTGATTCATTCAGTGATGTCACTGTGGCACGCATAAGTGTTGCACTTTTGATAAGCAACGTGAGATCCTTAATGAGTCACACGATGAATTCATTATGAAATCAAAGGGATGTCATTAATGATTTTACTTAAGGGACTAAAAATGCTAAAATTAATTAAAATAAATATTTATTTATTTATAAAATAAAAAATATTTAAAACATGTTTTTAATAAAATTTAAAGAAGTAACTTGCATCTGATTAATCATAATGAATCAACAATGATTTCACGTTGATGTCTTAAATGATGTCATAATTGTTATCTGGGTTTATTATATATTTTATTTAATAAATAACCTAAGCATTATTTAACTGCAAGCACAAAATTAAATTAAAGTAACATGCATTTATGACTGCAAAAAAAAACAAGATTGAATGCAAAAATATAACCTTACTTTTTAAGCATACCAAATATAACAAAAACTTAATCGAGTAGGTAATCAAATACAAAATAATATTTAAAATCCTATAGGAGTATACATACTTACCCCAGTATAACAAAAACCAAAACACTTAAAATAATACTAATGTACATTCTGTATTGCAGAATAATCTCAAATTTCTTAAAAAAAAAACGTTACATACATTATGACGGCACTACCAGGGATAAAAAAGGGCACTAGGTACCTCTTGTAATATGTAATATCTCTATAAAGTATTATAATTATGGCGATAAATTTGAATATGTAGTAGTGGTTATGTTAACTTAACACAAAGATGCCGAGTGCAAAAAGTACTCCAGTACATTAAATGTACTCGAGTACAACAAAAGTACTCGAGTACAAAAAATGTACTCGAGTACAAAAAATTTACTCGAGTACAACCAATGTACTCGTGTCCATTTTTACATTTTTAATTTAAATAAGTACAAGTACAAGAACATTTTTTGAAATGTACTCTGGACTGAGTACCGAGTACATAAAAAGTACTTAAAGTACAAAATTTGAGTACAAGTACTTAAGTACCGCACAGCTTTAATACCATGGCAACACTGTTATGCACTTGCATAGTTCAGAGAAAAACCTTAAGGTTATAAATTTAAATTATGGCACTGACATCAAATGCATTTCTGTGAAATCACCTGGACCTCACCTGGAGCTCATTAGCTGAATCATTGCTGAGCTCATCCTGAGTTCTTGATGAGATCATTTGTGAAATTAATTTTACAAATGATCTCATCAAGAACTCAGGATGAGCTCAGCAATGATTAAGCTAATGAGCTCCAGGTGAGGTCCAGGTGATTTCACAGAAATGCATTTGATTTCATAGTGAGTTCACTGTGAGCTCACGCGATGATTATCACTGAGTGATTTTTTAATGATTCATAAATGTTATCTGGGATGATGACGATCTTGATGTGGAATATCCGGCTAATGTCGATGTAGTTATAAATGAAGATTCTATTAAGGAAAATTGATTTATTTAATTTTATATTAAGATAATAAAATAAATAAAAAGTTTTTTTTTTATTTTGAAACCTTAAATTTGTATAACTTGAGGCGACCATTTTGTTTTTTACTATTTTGACCTCAAAATCGAATTCTTGGACCCCAAAAACGTAAAGGTATTTATTTTCAAATAAATTCGCTCTCTATTTGAATTTTGGCCAGCTTTTTGTGTGTTTCCGACCACTGTGCGACGTGTCACACATCTCGTGAGACAATTAATTTGTTACAACAGTTTGGACGCCTTATTTTGAAGAATGCCAATGTCAATTGGCAACTGGCAACTGGCCGCCAAGATCATGCGACATCACACCCTTGGATTTTTTCCTATGGGGTCATGTGAAATCTCAGGTTTACAAAAATAAGCCACAAACAATTCCCGACCTTCAACAAAACATGGAATAGTGCATTCATTTTAAAACATGCAATCGATTGTTCTTCAAAATAAAATAAAGATTAAAAGATTATTATTATTACATGTAGGTAGTTATTTTTTTATCTTATTTAAAAGTTCTGACGTTCTAAATGGAAAACCCTTTACATAATCAATATGCTTATTTTACTCGTAGGTTTTAGGTTTACATTCATTACTAAGTATAGGTAGGTACATTTTGTTTTTTTCTATTGCTTTCGCTTCATTTCATATTTTGTTTCTCTTCTTTAAATTTTATACTAACTCATCGTTCCATGTTTTCTTAGGTCTGCATCTTGGTCTTTTTTTATTGTCTTTTTTTGTTTGTCTGTCCTCCTGCATCATCACCAAATGTCCGAATCATTTCAGTTGTTTTTTTCTATGCTGCCGAGTAGAAAACGTAGAAAACTTATCACACGTAACTTAACGTATTCAAAAGTTGGGTCCGGCTCAACTTAAGGGAGTACGTTTCTTACGTGAGCTAGTCACAGTAAAACGATATAGCGCTATCCTGTTGTTTCACTTTTTTAGATAGATAAGCAACCCAGGCTTGTATATTACGTTCTTTGCGTGTATTAAGTTAATGTAAACAGACAACTTAGCAGACGGAGGTTTCTTAAGTTAAGTGAAGTTAAGTTACGCTTATTAAGTGGATGTGAATGTCCTGTTAAAAATCACCCATAGAGACCAATAGAAACCAATAAAAAATCAGAATGGAATGAATTGGTCTTTATTGGGTCTATTGGTTTCTCAACAGAATGAGCATTGGTTTCTATTGGTAATTTCCGTACTGGAAAATGCCAATAGATTACCTAATGGTCTGAATTGGTTTTTATAAGAAGTTACAAGTACAGGAAATTCCCAATAGAAATTCAATTGGTAAATACCACTTAAATGTTCAGCGCCTGCGCAATTTAATACAAATGACCACTTGTTTCTATTGTCAATTTTCTTACTGGAAAATACCAATAGATAAACTAATGGTCTGAATTGGTATTTTATCGGTGTGTAGGTACAAGGAACCCTATTGGTATTTACCACTTTAATATTTATTTTCAAAATTCGCCTATAGGTAGGCAACCCATGCATACCTCTCGCCTCTGTAGCACAATACATAGGCCTATAAAGGTGGAATGCCTTGAGCTGCTAAGTAAGGATTCCTTACTAAGGCAAAATTACTGGCCATGGAAACGCTTGGCGTTTTGGAATTTTTAAAGGGGCACAGATCGTCCTGTGGCCCACTCTGCGAAAAGTAAGCAGTGGGCCCCACTACTTACTTTTAGCAGAAGCTATTTATAAAATTTAAATTAAATGTTAAACAGCACTATTTTTGAGATTTTATTTAACCATCAAAACACGTAATTTTTTACCTTAAAGACGTCTAAAATGGATAGTGGGGACCAATTCAAACCAATAGCGGTACCTCTGGAAAATCCAAATAGTTCTATTGGGAATTACCAATAAAATATATCTATTGGGAATTACCAATAAAATACGATTAGTCTCTATCGGTCTGTATTGGGATTTTCCAGCGGTGTCGCTATTGGTTTGAATTGGTAATTCATGGTACAGATACCACTATTGAGACCAATTCAAACCAATAGAGCTGCCGCTGGAAAATCCCAATAGCTTTTCTATTGGTCTCTATGGGTGATTTTTAACAGGGTGAGCTTTAACTTTTTCGTTGCGTAGTCTGTCCCTTCTAGTTATTCTTTTCACTGCTCGTTATTTATCTGCTTCATTATTTCCTTGTTTACTTATTGTTATGACAAAATGCTTGAAGGCATTTAATTGTTCTATATCCTGTCCGTTTAGTTTTAGTTCCGTCTGCATCCATCACCATTGTTTTTGTCTGATAGGTTTATTCTTAGGTTCCTTTATGCTGCGTTCCTTATTTCCAAGTATGCTGTAATTTCTCGTTTTTGGCAATTATCATTAGGTCATCGTGGTAAAATTAAAATAATAAAATCAAGCAAACATTCTTTTTTAAGTTTTTAGTTTTCCTTTAACAAGACTAATGGGACGGAGCCCCTCTGCATTGTTCGCGGATCACTGAGGACCTCGTACCTATCACAATTTTGAAAAATCCTGCTCTGCAAAAATAAAAAAGATGTTTGGGGCGTATTTTGTTTACAAAAATACAACCTTTGCGTATTTAGTATTTCTACAAAAACTAAATAATTCAAAACGAATTTTGAAAGGGACGAGTAGTACCTGGAAAACATTCGTGATATTCATACGAACATCACGTCGTGATTTTCACAAATTTTTTTCATATATGATATACTGATATTATACGGAAGTCGCCGCGTGAGAAATGAAAATCATGTCGTGATTTTTTATGCCAACGCTGTATGCGATTGACTGATGGCACAAAAAATCATGTCGTGATTTTTTATGCCAACGGTGTTTGGATAATCATTTTTGCGCCACGTTCGTACACTAAGAGAAAAATTATGTTGAATCAACAGTTTTTGCGGTTAAATACATTTAATATTTTCTTGGATTTAAATTAACTACCTATATATAGTTAATTTAAATCCAAGAAAATATTGAATGTTAAACTTTTGATTTAATTGTTAACATACTTTTTCTTTCAATGTACGAATGTGTCGCAAAAATGAATATCCAAACACCGATGGCATAAAAAATATTCTTACTGATATCATACGGAAGTCGCCGCGTGAGAAATGAAAATCATGTCGTGATTTTTTTATGCCATCGGTGTTTGGATATTTATTTTTGCGCCACATTCGTACATTGAGAGAAAAAGTATACCTATATATATAGTTAAATCAACAGTTTTTGTAGTTAAATACATTCAATATTTTTTTGGATTTAAATTAATAGTTAATTTACATCCAAGAAAATATTAAATGGATTTAACCGCAAAAACTGTTAATTCAATAATTGATAACATACTTTTTCTTTCAATGTACGAATGTGGCGCAAAAATAAATATCCAAACATGTCGGTGCACCGATGGCATAAAAAATCATGTCCTGATTTTTTATGCCCAAATACCGATAGCATAAAAAATCATGTCGTGATTTGTTATGCCATCGGTGTTGTAGTTAATTTACATCCAAGAAAATATTAAATGTATTTAACCGCAAAAACTGTTAATTCAATTGTTAACATACATTTTCTCACAATGTACGAATGTGGCGCAAAAATAATTATCCAAACACCGTTGGCATAAAAAATCACGACATGATTTTTTAGGCCATCGGTCAATATATCTATAGAAAACAGCGATGGCATAAAAAATCACCACATGATTTTCATTTCTCACGCAGTGACATCGGGATGATTTCCGTATGAATAAAATTTGTGAAAATCACGACATGACGTTCGTATGATTTTCATTTATAACGCGGTGACTTACGCATGATATCATGATATCATGATATCATGCAGTATGAATAAAATTTGTAAAAATTACGAATGTTGTCATTCAATTTAAAAAGATATTCCAATGTTTAACAAAACGTTCACGTTTTGTTAAACATTGGAATATCTTTTTTAATTGAACTCGGACAACTTTCGTGATATTCAAACAACGCACAGACCGGTATTTTGACCTAAAACGTGGCCAAAAATATTTATCAAAAGGGTAGCAAATGACCAAAAAACATATTTTTAAAGGTATACAAGTGATATTAGGTACTTAAGTAAGTAAGTAAAATTTTACTATAAATAAAAAAAGTATGTATTCACAAATTTATTTATAAAAAAATTATAAAGTAGCTACTTACATGCAAGTAATGCAATAAAAATATTAAAATTATACATAGGGTTAGTTAACCAGTAATTGACCAGTTAAGGAAATTTTCGTGAATAAATTATTATATTTTCCTCTATTTTTAGTTTAAAATAAAATAAAAAATATCATTGAGTTTAATTTTGTTTTAAGATTTGATAACAGCTGACTAAAAAAGAAAAAGAGTTTCTATGCCGACGAAAAAAATTTAATGCACGAAAATTCATGATTTTCCAGTGGTTGACCAATGCCTTGTAAGCAGATATCATTAATAAAACTGTGCCATCTAGAAGTTAAGGGGTAAAACACTATGCAAATAATATAAGTTTTTAATTAGGTAATACAGGGACCTTGCTTTTATCATTTAATCGGTAAATTGGTCAATAACTGGTTGATGGTCAATTACTGGTTAACTGACCCTATATTAAAGTTTTTGTGCCCTTTAAAAAATAAAAAATACATCCATTTACCTAAAACTCTTATAAGATCGCACTAAAGTGTCTGTTTTCAAGGGTATATTTTTTCGTGATGTGGAAACATGTGGATGACTTTGATGGCTGCAATTATTCTAGATATTCTAAAGTTTAATAAAATGTATTGCGAATGCCGTTGCGAGGTGTTCCCGATATTTAAAAACACCATTGTTTGTTTAAGAAAACGAGAAAAATTAAGAATCCCTATTAATTTCTTTCACCAAAATCTCTTTTAACATAAGAAACAACACAGCAAAAATTTGTTTTTTTGTGGAGTGTAGCGAACGAAGACCTACGATGTAAAAGAGCGCTAGGTTCTAGCTGCTGGTACATCGGACTGGGATGGCCAATTCAAGTTTCAACTACACCAAAAGATAGCCATGTTATCTAACTTCTTTAAAACAAAATCTTAGATCTGGCAATAAAAATTAACAAAATTGATTTTTGGCCACGTTTTAGGTCCAAATACCTGTCTGTGCAACGTTTTATAAATTATAAAGGTGTAATGTGAATAACAAACTAGGTTTTAAATTCGCAGTTCGCAGGGCTCACACGCATGCGCAAATTTTGCCTATATCACACCGTGAGTTCTACATGATATCACTGTGATGAAGCATGTGTATGCACTCAGGATATCACAGCGTGATAAAAAAAATCACGTTTTGATATCATCATGACTTCAGCAGGAAATCCCGATTGTTGTCCGGGTACCTACTTACCTACTTTTAGTAACAATCGTACTGCAGTAACCAGTTTTAAGGAGTTTTAAGAAATAAAACATATTCAAAACCTTTACCGTTATATTTTATTTGACTTATTTATCACTAGCTATTGAATTAAAGAATAATTAAACGCATTTGTTTTTAATTTATTTAAAACCATTGTTTCGGATTTATGGGTATGAAGGAGTTATTGCACATAATTTAATTAAAACGGTTTTAGACCTTAACATGAAACACACTAATACCAGAATACTAATAATAATATATTTTAACTTCGTAAGTAACAAATTAATTAAAATAAAGTAATAAACCAGTAAAAATAAAACTGATTGTAGCTTTTTATTTATGGATCATTAAATAATGTGGAGCCGTTTTGCCAGTTAAGGATTACAACTAATAAAAATCTATTTTTTAAAGCATGTTTTGGTGTTCCCTACGCATTACCCCCTGTGGAAGATTTGAGATTTAGGGTAAGAATAGGTAAACAAAGTGTTAAAAACCGAACACGACTCTACAATAATTATTATTCTATGACATCAGGTTTTAGAGAAAATTTTACCCAAAAGAGTAAAAACGCAAGGTATTTTTTCTTTACATAACTCCGCAATAGTTTATTTTTTTAATGCCTTTTTGACAAATCGTTAGTTGAAATTTATGTGTTTGGCACATTGGTAAGTAATTGAAAATTGGTAAAAATTTAATTTATTGATTTGAACATGAATTTTAACTAACCAGAAGAGAAAACGAAAGGAGAGGAGAATGGAGTACTTAGGACAGCATCAGTTTTAAAGAAAATAATTATACTTATGTTGTGGTGTGACATAAATAAAAAACTAGGTATATGTGCAAACAAAATTATTTTGTGCTTTCGCTTACGGAATTTGTGATTTATTAAATTAAAAAATGCTAAAAAATAGTTTTAATTTATTTATAATAATTCATTTAGAAAGAGCAAATCAATTTTTTTTGCACACATACCTAGTTTTTTTCGTAGTTTCGATTATTTTTTTTTAAAGTACATCACCCAAAGTTACCCTCCGCCCCTTAAAATATGGAAGGGGGTAGGTGTCAAAAATATGTCCCCCTCTCTCTATTAGTTAACCAAAATTTAAAAAAATAGCCGTTTTTTAAATATCTCCTTGTAACACATTCTTGTGATGTTTATAAACATATTTTTTTATTATTATCTAAACTATTTAAAAAATAACACTTTGTATTTAATTAGGTACCTATAGGTATACCTATAAATAATTTTTTTAAATTTGGTTATACTTTTTAGCTACCTATAGAGTGTAATAACTGGTTTAATCATTTAAATTTCACGAAGGAAAAACTTCCCTGTATTGGATTTAATGTTAAAGGACATGAAGACTGTCTTTATTTAAATATCTTTACTCCCATTACGGTATGAGTATTTACATTTTTATAGTAAATATAAAAACCTACATTTTAGAAAAACAATTATTTATCAGTGATAGTTTGGATACCGGGCCAATTTTTCCTAAACGCTGATACAACATTTTTATCAAATGGACCTGATTATTTTATAGAACAAGAAGTAATTTTTGTAACTGTTAGCTATCGCCAAGGACTTTTTGGATTTGCCAGCACTGAGGATGAGGTGTTGCCAGGAAATATGGGAATTGCAGATATTTTTGCAGCTCTTAAATGGATTAAAAAATATATAAAAAAATTTAATGGTGATGGAGATAATATAACAATTATGGCACATGGTTCTGGAGCTGTGTGTGTTTCTATTTTGCAACAAAATTACTTATCCAAAGGTTATTAAATAATATATTTATCACCCTGTATATTAGACTGGGCCAAAAAAATCGACTATTTTTTTTTTGGAAAGTATATCGAAAATATTGTTTGGGGTGGCAAAAAAAATTATGGTGAAAGTTTGAGTCCATAATATTAATATTAAGAGGTCTATCATCGCAATTTTAGATTTTTTTTCCTGAGCGAGTTTTTGTCAGAACTCCCAAATCATTGAGTTTAACAAAATTGACTTAAGAATATTTTTTGAAGAAAATTGAATGCTCTACAAAAAAGGTTTGAATGTAATTTTCCGTCAGATGAACCCTTTTCTTACAATCATGCCTTAAAAATTGGTATAGTTTTACAATTTGATCTTTTAACTGGAATTTTGTAGTTCAAGAAAAAATCAGTACCCTGAAAAAAAACGATAAATATTCTTATGGTAAATCAAATGCTCTACAAAAAAGTCTTCTATCATTTTTGGCTAAATTCACCCCATCAAAAGTTATTCAAGGTTAAATTTGAAGTCAAAACCAAATTTTAACCTTGAATAACTTTTGATTGAGTGAATTTAGCCAAAAATGTTAAGAGGCTTTCTTTGTAAAGCATTTGATTTCCCATAAGAATATTTATCGGTTTTATAGGGGTACTGATTTTTACATGAATCATAAAATTCCAATTTAAAAGATCAAAATGTAAAACTATACCAATTTTTAAGGCATGATTTTAAGGAAACAGTTCATCTGACGGAAAATTTCACTTTAAACTTTTTTGTAGAGTATTTAATTTTCACTTATAATACCACAAGAGCTTCAAAATTATCGGGTATTTTTCCCGATAGGTTCGTTGCAAACAAATGAAGGAGTCAAGTTTTTCAGGTTAAAAAATCACGAGCGCGAAGCGCGAGTGATTTTTCCTGAAAAACTTGACGACTTTATTTGTTTGCAGGGAACCTTGAGGGAAATGCCAGATAATTTTGAAGCTCGTGTGGTATTCGGGGGATTATTTTTTTTGACAGTTCTCTGTATCTGTATGCTGCCCTCACCACCTCTCCAAGCCAATTCCACTGATATTATCATGAATAATTTTTTCTGGAGGCCATCAGGAGTTTCCTCGTCCCAAACAGTGGTCATTGCATCCCAATCTTTTTCCTCCAACGCTGCTGCACTTGCCCTCCGTTTTTCCGGAATAGATTGTAAAGCCTTACGCTTGGCATCACGAGCTCCTCGAGCGGTCTTGAATGCAGCATCCGAAAATGGGTTGATTTTGATGTCGAAATCGTTCAAATACTTTTCTTGAAGTAATTTGGCAGTCTGATTCCACATTGTTTTTATTGTACCTTCCTTATAGTCTTCTCCATCCATTTTCTTCATATTGTAAGCGTAATCTTTCATAATGTTTGCCAATTGCGCTTCACTCGTTTCAGCACTCAATGTGTATTCCCTCTCAGTACAAAAAGTAGTAAATTGGTTCCAAACTGTTTTTTTTTGACTTCTCCGTATTAATGGGAACATTTCCTTTGACTTTTTTATCGATGGTGGACAGAGAACAAACTCCAAATCGACTCATTTTCATGCAAAATCTCCAATTTTCACAATTGAATTCAACCTGTCAGTTTGACGTGTGATTAATTTGACTTTTTTATATATAGCAACTACCAGAGAAAATTTTCAAAAAATTATCGCTGTAATTCGCTGTAGGTTCCCTCAACAACAATGCCTCAACAATGTCCCAACAATACAGAGAACTGTCAAAAAAAATAATCTTAAAAAAATATTTTCAATTCAATTTTGTTAAACTCAATGGTTTGGGAGTTCTGAACCTAAAACTTGCTGAGGAAAAAAAATTAAAATTGCGATGATAGACCTCTTAATAATAATATTATGGACTCAAACTAAATAATTTATTTTTGTCACCCCCATATTTTCGATATACTTTTCAACAAAAAAAATAGTTGATTTTTTTGTCCCAGTCTACTGTATATTCTAAAGCATCATAGGTTTTTAATTTTTAATTTTTTTAGGGTTGTTTCAAAGAATAATTCTACATAGTGGAAGTTCCCTAGTGACTTGGGGACGATCAGAAAATAGTAAAAGGTTTATACTAAAACTAGGAAAAGAACTTAATTTGAATACAAATAGTACTGATTCGTTAGTAAACTCTCTTAGATGTTATAAAAATATATCACGTTTACACAAAACTACGAAAAAAGTGTACAAATCTGTAATTGATTTTTTTGGTATTGTAACTATCTTAGGAATATTTTTTTTAGTTTCTAAAAGATATAAATCCTTTAAATGGTAATATCATTGGACCTGTTTTAACTAATAATGGAAAATTTCTTAGCGGGCCTGCTCATGAAAGTTTCTTCCAAAATAATTTTACTTCAGTCCCGATCATTATAGGATATACAGTTTTGGAAGCAATATCTGATTCTAGTAAGAATAAAAATTTAATAATGAAAACAAAAAATATGAAATATTTATATTTTAAGTACAGTATATATCAGGATATGTAAGTAAAATGAATAGCACGGATTTTTATATGTCGTCTATAAAAGCTGACGAAAAATACAAAGATAATATAGGATCCATGATTGAGAAGAACTACTTTATGCCAGGAGTTGAAAAAAATATACTGAGAAGCCTAAGGGTAGTTAGTTTTGCTCCTAGATCCATTCTGGTCCATCGATCACATGCCAACAAATTATCTATTTCGTCTTAGTCACATTTAATAAACTATTATCTTTACTAATGTTATTATTTATATGATATTTTAGTTTGTTTCTGAAGCAATATTCATTAAACCAATTCTGGAGACTTCTAGATTAATGTCGTTTTCATCTCCAGTGTACTTGTATCAATTTAGTAAACATGGATATTTTGAGGAAGGCATGGAATATCCTGATCCAGGACATGAAGCAGAATTACCTTATCTATTTAGTGGATATAGAGATTATCCTGTTGTTCCACCTGATGATCCAACTAGAATAAGCCTGATACAATTTTGGACGAACTTTGCAAAATTTGGGTGAGTGTTTTAAGGTTGTCCCCCTTTTTTACGGAAATAAAAAAATATTTTTCCATTTCCTCTAGCTGCCCAACGCCATATAGGTATGACAATTTTACATGGGTAAAAGTTAATGAAGTGGATGATAATATAGTATATGCAAATATAGATATTAAAATAAGTTTAAAATCAAACCCATTTAAAGAAAATATGAAATTTTTTGATGATCTTTATGATACTTATGGAACTCCACCCTTTGATACATTTTAGTTTTGTTAAGGAGATGCACTAATAATTTTTTAAATAAATATTGATTAAACTGTGCCTTTTTCTTGTATCTATACATTATTACCCAATTTCATAGTATCCTAGCTGAATATGATAATACAATATTTGTTCTGCGCAGTTTGTAAAAAATAAGATACCTACATAGGTAAGTCGATGTTTGCAAAAATTACATAAGTAAAATGGGTACAACCCACACGGCATTAATCTCTGAAATACATCTATAAGATATCTTTTAGACATCTCACGAGGTGTGTTCAGAAAATAACGAGAATTGTTAAATTTCGCGGGTTCGGAGGGTCCGGTTGTCATAAAATTTTTTATTATGTTGGTATACATGCCCCCGAAGTATGATAAAAACTTTAGCTGTTTTCATCGTTTACTTTGTCTGTGGCAGCCGCTAAGGTTAGACGTGTTTTATGCATAAAACGATTTTCGTTCGTTAATAATAATAATAACATTTATTGCCCAACAGAATACATAATTCCAATTACAGTACAACATAATATGTAATAACAACACCATTAAGTGTTTATAATAACAAAAAATAAATCATTTACCTATTCCTCATATTAACAAAACAATAACAAATATAAGTTTTAAGTATTAAGGGAAAAAAATAACATGGCTGTATTAGATACACTTCTAAAACCATCATTAAACAAATCATATAAATTACAAATTTGGTTAAAGTTTTGACACATAACATGTATTGGGGACTTAATTAAAATATTTGTTCTAGCGTTTGTGTTATAAAATAAAGTCTCTGATCGTAAACCCAATCTTGTTACGAAAATGTTTATTTGCGACAGGAGATTAGGAGAATCGATCCTGTTATTAAACAACTTAAGTGTAATTAATCGTTTAGTTCGTTAATAAACCACTGCGTGTTTTAATTCACACTACGAACAGTAAAAACGTTACAATATTTTTATTTCGAAAACAAGAAGGCGCTGTGCTCTCGGCCTAATCCGGGCCTGCTTTTTCCTCAGTGGAGATAAAAAAGATAATTAAAATTATTTTATCAGACTGACTAAACACAAGTATACTTATAGGTAATGTAAGTCCCTTATATTATAATATATTTAAAACCGAACGTTTAACGTCACTAACAGTTAAGGAAATACAGTTTAATTTAATTTAAAACTTGTTAAATTAAGTAAATAGTAGTTAAATAAATAAAGCATTAAACTTTTATTGCAAAGTAAATTGCAATATTAATTTTAACTATTAAAAATATTTGTTCTAGCTAAGTTCTTAAATCTGGCCCGGAATTAGGTGAGCAGGCGGGGGCCCTTGCCCCGACAAAATTAACCTCTGAATGTCATTCAGGTCCGTTTTATCGCCTTTATACGGGGTGTAAATAAACTAATTGTAAAAATTTAAGGGGATGGTATAATAAACATAATATGTCCGGAAACGCTCAATACTCAGCAATTTAAACACTTTTTTCAAGTTTATATTCGTTTTTTTTATTTTTCTGGGGTAACCGGTTTATCCGTAAATTTTAAATATCCATACCTATAGGCACTTTCAAGATACAACAAAGAATTAAATTCGGCGGATTTTTTCCAGGACCTGGTTGTTTTTTAAGACCAATTTTTAAACCGCCTCAAATTTTCTGATTTAAAACAGCTCTGATTAATCTTAGTTTATTGCAAATGATTTACTCAAATGTGTATTGCGTTGCGTTGCGTTGCGCATATATAGGTATACTCTTTCTACTTGCAGACAAGACTTGAAATGTTGTCTACTGAAAAACCTTTTACACAAGCAATAAATTTTGAGGATGGAGAAGATATAGATTAAGAGAATATTACAATAATTAAATTTTAATTCTGGTTAGGCATTTAATACTTATTTTCTAAGCAAAATAAATAAATTATTGTGCTCCAATTTTTCATTTCCCTTTCATTTTACTATGAAAAAAACTTTCGCCTTTGCTTCTCCTTAAAAATGTTGTAGATCCGGGCCTGACTTCAATACCCTTATTACCTAAATGTATAGACGTTTATTACCTTTCTGGAAATTTGTAATCCACAAAATCTAATGTATTACTATATAAAAGTAAAATTATTTTATCTCAACCTCATTTATACTACACAAAATGAATTCATTTAAAATATACTTTCTTTTAGTTTTAACAATTAATTTGTGTTTAGCAAACTTTACAAAGGTAATATAAAAAACTAATTCTTATTATAATCAATTAAATATACTTTCTTTTAATATATTAGAATGTCCAAACAGATAAGGGTTTAGTAAAAGGAACTGAAGAAGTGTCGTCTGCTACTGGACACATTTATTTTGCATTTAGGGGCATTCCATATGCACAACCACCTATTGATAATTTAAGATTTGAGGTAATTTAAAAAAATCTATTAAAATAAAATATATAAAGTTTTATTTTAGCCACCTCTTCCTCCAAAGAACTGGCCTGTGGTTTTATATACCAATGAATCTAAAAGTCCCTGCATTGAAACAAATAGTCTTGGAGTACAATATTCAGAGGATTGCTTGTATTTGGATGTTTACACGACTAAAGTACTTTAGAGAACTTTATTTTGTAGTAAATTATTATTAATTTGTTTTAGTTAACTGTATCTCCTACATCTCCTGCCCTACCTGTTGTTATTTATATTTTTGGTGAAGGTTTTACTACAGGACAGGCCATAGGAACAGAAGCAGGTCCAGATTTTTTTCTAGAAAAAGATGTTGTTTATGTTACATTTAGATACCGATTGGGTGTTTTTGGATTTCTAAGCACAGGTGATTTGGTGGCGCCCGGAAATGTTGGACTCAAGGACCAACTAATGGTTCTTAAATGGGTACAGAAAAATATAAAACAATTTGGGGGAGATCCCAAAAAAATAACGATCGCTGGGGTTGGAGGTGGGGCTATATCAGCCTCTTTATTGCAGATATCCAAGCAAACTAAAGGTAAGTAATTTTTATGTTAATATTTAAAAATAACAATACAATTCTTTTAGGATTATTTTCTGGAGTTATATTGCAAAGTGGTTCAGCTCATTCATCTTGGGCTGTTTCGAAGAAAACTAAAACACTTGTTAATCAAATGGGCAAACAACTAAATGCAAACAATACAAACAGTTCCACACTTTTAAAAGATCTAAAAAAAATTGATGCTTATACCCTACAAAATACAGCTTATAATCTATGGAAAAAGGTAGGTCAGCCCGATCAAAATATTAACAAATCAAAGGATTTTCTGTATTTTATTAAGTTTTGTTATTAAAATCATGAAGTTTATAAAGTATTCAAAAAAGTTTTAGATGAATTCTCCTATAGATTACTAATTATTTCGGCAATAAATTACTAATTATTTCGGCTGCTTTGCAGAAATATTCACCTGCGAGGCTCTTGCACGAGATACTAGACGTCACGCACGAGACCAATAAAAGTGACGAGACTCTCGTGGGCACAATATATTTGAGGTCGCCGATTACAAATTTGATATTCATTTTTCCAAAAATGACCGGTACACATGGGGAATTTTCCAAAGAAATGTCCTGATAAAGCTCAAATTTGGCAACATGTGGTTTTTGAGGTCGTTGATTACAAATTTGATATCCATTTTTTCAAATTTTTAAAACAAAATGGCGGATCCAATATAAATCTAAAAAAATTCTCCAGTTTTTAGAAAAATCATAAAAAAATAAATTTTTAGAACAGTCAATATTTTAAACATTTCCAAAATTTAAAAAAATGTTAGCCGCAGAGTAATTTAAAGTTAAAAAATAGTTTAGGTTATGCGTTACCGACCCTTTTTTACGTAAACGTATCACAGTGTTTGTAAAATATTGCACAATAAATATTGGGCTCAGGGAAAAAGTAGGTAATTGCATTCTAAAAGTGGCTGAATCCAATTATCAATCAAATACTCATCTATGGATAACATTTGAAACCAGATGATTCTGCCCAGTCTCAACCCCGTTATAATAATTATAACAATTATTGTTAATATATAAGAAATTGTTACAATGCAGACAGCCATGTTGCATGCCACGTATAATACGTATAATTGAATCAATGTTACTTGCAATCTTGCCAGTGCCGGCGTGAGGCATGTGCAAACGGTGCGGTTGCACCCGGCTCCGCGTTTTATAGGCCCCGCGTGCATCAAGGCGTCTTAACAAAATTATTATACATTTTAGCAAAATAGCAAGCTGTAAGCACAGCGTGACAAAATAATATCTGGTCATTGCCAGAGATAATATTTTTAGTAGGTATCGTCATTATCCGTTTAAAACAATTATTATTACGCCTGGAAAAGAGTTTTTCAAAATTAAAATTAATAAAAAAATATTTAAGATCAAGAAGGTTTGTGTCAAGAACGACTAGTGGGTTTGGCTATATTGTTAATAGAGAAGGATGTTGGAAAAGAGCTTCCGCTAAAGAAGGGAAAAATTATGTGTGATATTTTCTTAAACGTTAATTTCTATATTAATTGAAGGGAAAAGCTGAACCACCCAAGTGCATTTTTAAGTCAAAATTTTCTACTATCCGGTAACACGCTTAAAAAATTCTGACTTAAAAAGCACTTGGGCGGTTTCAGCGCCAACCCCTTCAATTGGATTTCGTTTGATGTTTTATTGGATTATTGACGCGAAGCGCTATGTTAATTTTCAAGAGTAAATTTTTAGTTCAAACCCCGCATTTTTTTGCACGCCGGCTCTGAATCTTGCTGCAACATTGCATGTAACTTGACAGCGTGGACATATATGTCCACAAGTTCTATAGAAACATTGCTGCAACGCTGCAGCAACGTTTCCTACAATATTGCTTTAACGTTGCAGACAAATTGAGTGCTATACTGCCTTACTATGGAGAAAGGCAGTAACTGCAAAAAAAATGCAAAATGCGTTTTCTTGTGCTATGGTAAAGCTATGGACATTTTGTAACCAAATTCAACACAGAAATGAAAGTTAAAACAATCAATTAAATACCTACTGCTTTTTATAAAAATTTCTTGTTTAGCAGTTACTGCCTTTCTCCATAGTAGGGCAGTATTAGGGGTAGTGTTATTTAACAAATTGTTTACAAAAATTGTTCTGCGCAATTTAAAAACAATTTTGTATGCGTTTTAGAGCTACGAAGAAGATCCTTTGGATGATAGAGCTTTTGGGCCTGTTCTGGAACCGGAACACGCAAATGCTATATTAACTAATACTACATTCGAAAGTTTCTCGAAAAACCCTAACGACAAAATTCCAACTTTGATTGGTTATAATGCTGACGAAGGCAATAACGATGATATTTCAGGTAGGTAATTTTAAGTTTTGTATTTGTTTTTTTGAATCTTTAACTTAATTATAGGATCCTTTATAAATACCTGTGTTTCTTATGATTTTGCTCCAAATTTATTGGTTCCAACTAATATGAATATAAGTGGGTTTTCCAATAGGTGGACAATTGGAAATAAAATACGATACCAGTACTTTGGAATATGGCCTATTTGTTTTCAGTATTATCAAAGGACAAAAGTATAAAATCAATTATGTTACGTTAAATGCCTATTTAAACAAAACATTTCTTCTAGCTCTTCGGAGACTTGCAATATGTTCGACCAATAATACAAACTGCGAACCTTTTATCAAATTATTCAAATGTATACCTCTATAAATATTCCTACAGCGGAAAGAAACCTACAATAAATGCCAATGGAGAATTAAAAAATTATAAAGGTAGGTACCTGAAATATTTCTTTGGAATTATTTCTTTACATAAAGTTATAGGTGCTGCACACTATGCTGAATTATCCAGTCTTTTTTATTCTCCAAAGTATGTTTCATTGAGTGAAGATGATGTACTTTTAAGGGATAAGTTAACAACGCTTTGGACTAATTTCATAAGCAATCAGTGAGTTCAATATAACAACGTATATTTATTTAAAACTAATAATTGTACATTTTAATTGTAGAAAGCCTACAGTACCTGGTGCCGTTTTAAAATGGCCAGTATTTAATGAAAAAAATTCTACTGAGTTCAGATATTTGGATATAAATAATGATCTTAAAATTAAAGTTAATCCAGATCAAGACACAGTCGACTTCTGGAATAATCTTTACAAAAACTAAAAAAAAAATACTTTTTTTATAAAAATATAAATCAATATACCTACTTATATATTTTTTTAATCCAGCGATAATCAATGACCAACTAGAGCAAAAATATTTGGTCGACTTTGATAATAAAAATTAAAAAAACATTCAACAAAATGTACTATCGTAATTAGTATTTAAGTGTTTAAATACCACCGTATGCAATTATATTTATGCTAATTTCACCGGGTTTACAGCTTTGCAAGATATTTAAAAATTATTATGTCTACTTTTTTACGATTATTTTTTGTATAAATACAATTAAACCCGTTTAAAGAAATAATGCCCTAAAATGTTTGGTTGGTTAATATTATTTATGTTTACTCAAGTATCAATAGCTGTAAGTACCTAAATAATTAGATTTAATCTAGATGGTTGTGATTAACTAATAAAAGTAATTAATATTACAAGTGTTTTAATAAATGTAATGTTATATATATATCGTCAATTTTGATAGGCCGTAAAAATTCTGAAAAATGTGTTTTGGACATTTTTGGTGCAATTTAACACAAGATCATGTTTGCCTTCTTTGCCTTTTTTGATTTTTTTTTAATGCCTAAACCTTGCCTAATGCCTAAATGCTTGCCTGAAATGGGAAATATAGGTATGTGCCTATTAACTTTTTTAAATATTCGTTTATTTAACCGCATTATTTTGTAAAAAATCGATTTCTCTTTAAAAATGCACGAAACAAAATAGTAAACTAAATCGCAACTCTAGTCTTGGAAATCTGAATAAATGAAAGAGGTAAAAGTGCCCTAAAGTCTGGCTTAACTAATTATGAGTACATTTTAAAAACATAAATGGAAAAACGACTTTAGTAGTAGTAATTTTAGATACAATATCGTGTTTTGTGGAAAAAAATACTTTGAAGTAATAGCATTTTTTTACTTTTGGGCTAGAATTTTAAAAAAACCTAACGGATAAGGTCAGATTCGAATTCTGCGAATCAAAATCTTCGGAACCATATCAGTGCCTAGAGGCGGTTGGGGCGGCCGCCCTGGGCCTGTTAGAATGATTTTTTTTTACGCTGTGGCTCCCGTCCCGAGGCGGGACTTAAGTTCAGTCCCGATTGACGTCATAATTTTAAGATTTGTTATGTTATAATAAAATAATAATAATAAATTGTACCTGTATACATGTTAAGGGCACTTTAGTTACGTCATAAAACCAAACCAACCCAAACTCAACAACACAACCCAACCGACCCCGCCCCATTGGCCCCCCCCCGCCCCATTGAGCAAAAAACCCAACTAAAATGGGCAAATTTATGTTACGATAAAAATAAAACACTTTTTAACAAAGAAACAACAAATTTATAAATTAAAAAAGTTTGACTTCTAGTGGGATCGAACCCGGTACCTCTCGCATGCCAAGCGACCGCCCTACCATCTAAGCCATCGAGCTTGACACAAATTATAAAATCTCGGGGAATAAAAACCGATTTACAGTGTGTGACGTCAATCGGGACTGAACTTAAGTCCCGCCTCGGGACGGGAGCCACATCGTTTTTTTTATTCATTATCTATCTTTATATTTAATATAGGTACGTAATTCACTGTTGACCTGGCAACATTGGCAAATTGGTATTTATTATTAAGAGTTAATTTTTATTTATTTTGTTTTGTTATTGCATCCAAAAGCCACCAGTAGCTAAATTTTCAAATCTGGGTTGCCTGCCTGCAAACATTTCAACAAAAGTTAAATAAAGAAAAAATCGCGGGGTATAAAAAAAACAAAATTAAAAAAAACTGAATAATTCAGTTACCTATATATAAAATGGGAATGAAGTATTTAATTTTGTTATGAGGCGATGATCGGTATCACAAATTGTTGTTAAATTTTAGCTTTTAAGCAAAACTACAATTAGTTTACAATTTACATTTGGTGAGATTATGAACAGTACAAGTCCAAAAATTTAATTTTAACAAGTCATTTTCTAAAATCAAGTTTAAAAAACATTTTAGTGAGAAAATATTAATCATTTTGTTTGTGTGAAGTTATCCACACATCTCCAGCCACACATTCCTAAACAGGTTCGCGGTCGGCCGCTAGAGCGCGCAGCGCACAGTGGGTTGATTATTTATAAAATTGTGTATAGTTTTAATTTAATATCTTTTAACAGAAATCTATCAAGCTCGCGATTAAAAATTTAGATTTAAATAAAAGTAAACCCAGGGATATAGAGACAGAGACCTTTTAAACTTCGTGTATTTCAAGTAATTTGTTTTAAAAGACGTTTTAAAAAGTGAGGTTAGCAAGGCAAAACAGCAATTTGTAAAGTGTTCGATTATTAATACCATTAAAAGTTAAATTCAATTCAAGGAGGCTTTATTGAGAAACATCTATTGGTGTAAAATATTAAATTTGCGTATTTTATAAAAAATGTTTCTATAGTCTACAGTTCTATATTGTATGTGTTGATGGTGGTTTGCAAGGGCAGGCAAAAAATTACGTGATAAGGGGACCAGAGTTAACATATAAATAAAACAATTCCAGGGGGTTTTGTTTAGGCACATCTTTTGGGGTGGGCACGGGGAACTTTTAAAATTTGCGTATTTTACTAAGAGTTTATAAGTTAATTTATACGCGTGGATAGGGGGTTCGTAAGGGCAGGCAAAGAATTTCGTGATAAGGGGGCAAAAGTTAACATATAAATTAAATAATTCCAGGGGGTTTTGTTTAGGCACATCTTTTGGGGTGGGCACAGGGAATTTTTAAAATTTACGTATTTTATTAAAAATTTATAAGTTATTTTAAAAGTGTGGATAGGGAGTTCGTAAGGGCAGGCAAAGAATTTCGTGATAAAGGGGCAGAAGTTAACATATAAATAAAACAATTCCAGGGGGTATTGCTTAGGCACATCTTTTGGGGTGGGCACGGGGAATTTTTAAAGTTTGCGTATTTTACTAAGAGTTTATAAGTTATTTTAAAAGTCTGGATAGGGGGTTCGTAAGGGCAGGCAAAGGATTTCGTGATAAGGGGGCAAAAGTTAACATATAAATAAAACAATTCCAGGGGGTATTCCTTAGGCACATCTTTTGGGGTGGGCACAGGGAATTTTTCAAATTTGCGTATTTTACTAAGAGTTTATAAGTTAATTTAAAAGTGTGGATAGGGGGTTCGTAAGGGCAGGCAAAAAATTTCGTGATAAGGGGGCAAAAGTTAACATATAAATAAAACAATTCCAGGGGGTATTCCTTAGGCACATCTTTTGGGGTGGGCACAGGGAATTTTTCAAATTTGCGTATTTTACTAAGAGTTTATAAGTTAATTTATACGCGTTGATAGGGGGTTCGTAAGGGCAGGCAAAGAATTTCGTGATAAGGGTGCAAAAGTTAACATATAAATAAAACAATTCCAGGGGGTATTGCTTAGGCACATCTTTTGGGGTGGGCACGGGGAATTTTTAAAGTTTGCGTATTTTACTAAGAGTTTATAAGTTATTTTAAAAGTGTGGATAGGGGGTTCGTAAGGGCAGGCAAAGGATTTCGTGATAAGGGGGCAAAAGTTAACATATAAATAAAACAATTCCAGGGGGTTTTGTTTAGGCACATCTTCTGGGGTGGGCACGGGGAATTTTTAAAGTTTGCGTATTTTACTAAGAGTTTATAAGTTAATTTATACGCGTGGATAGGGGGTTCGTAAGAGCAGGCAAAGAATTTCGTGATAAGGAAGCAAAAGTTAACAAATAAATAAAACAATTCCAGGGGGTATTGCTTAGGCACATCTTTTGGGGTGGGCACGGGGAATTTTTAAAGTTTGCGTATTTTATTACAAATTTATAAGTTATTTTAAAAGTGTGGATAGGGGGTTCGTAAGGGCAGGCAAAGAATTTCGTGATAAGGGGGCAAAAGTTAACATATAAGTAAAACAATTCCAGGGGGTTTTGTTTAGGCACATCTTCTGGGGTGGGCACGGGGAATTTTTAAAATTTGCGTATTTTACTAAGAGTTTATAAGTTAATTTATACGCGTGGATAGGGGGTTCGTAAGGGCAGGCAAAGGATTTCGTGATAAGGGGGCAAAAGTTAACATATAAATAAAACAATTCCAGGGGGTTTTGTTTAGGCACATCTTCTGGGGTGGGCACGGGGAACTTTTAAAATTTGCGAATTTTATTAAAAATTTATAAGTTATTTTAAAAGTGTGGATAGGGGGTTCGTAAGGGCAGGCTAAAAATTTTGTGATAAGGGGGCAGAAGTTAACATATAAATAAAACAATTCCAGGGGTTTTTGTTTAGGCACATCTTCTGGGGTGGGCACGGGGAATTTTTAAAGTTTGCGTATTTTATTAAAAATTTATAAGTTATTTTAAAAGTGGGGATAGGGGGTTCGTAAGGGCAGGCAAAAAATTTCGTGAAAAGGGGGCAGAAGTTAACATATAAATAAAACAATTCCAGGGGGTTTTGTTTAGGCACATCTTCTGGGGTGGGCACAGGGAATTTTTAAAATTTGCGTATTTTATTAAAAATTTATAAGTTATTTTAAAAGTGTGGATAGGGGGTTCGTAAGGGCAGGCAAAAAATTTTTGAGATAAGGGGGCAGAAGTTAACATATAAATAAAACAATTCCAGGGGGTATTCCTTAGGCACATCTTTTGGGGTGGGCACAGGGAATTTTTTAAATTTGCGTATTTCATTAAAAATTTATAAGTTATTTTAAAAGTGTGGATAGGGGGTTCGTAAGGGCAGGCAAAGAATTTCGTGATAAGGGGGCAAAAGTTAACATATAAATAAAACAATTCCAGGGGGTTTTGTTTAGGCACATCTTCTGGGGTGGGCACAGGGAATTTTTAAAGTTTGAGTATTTTACGAAGAGTTTATAAGTTAATTTATACGCGTGGATAGGGGGTTCGTAAGAGCAGGCAAAGAATTTCGTGATAAGGAAGCAAAAGTTAACAAATAAATAAAACAATTCCAGGGGGTATTGCTTAGGCACATC